CCCCCCCCAAGCCAACCTCCCCTCACACACTCATAGCCCACCACAAACCTGATACCCACCCACACCCCACATATCCACGCACAGCCCCACATGCTCCCCTACCCCACATCCATACCCCCCTAAACTCCATACACACCCACACCTATCCTCTTCCACACTCCACATACCCACAGCTCCCCCCACAAACCTATACCCTTCCACCCATACCCCACACACTGCCCCCACAATATACAAGAGTAAGACTTAATTTTAAGCTATTATACAATCACCTCTATGTACACTACACAAACACAAGCAAATCAGGACAAAAATATTTTTTGAAATCAACTTAATGAATGTTGTAGTAGATGCTTGATTTTTAGAATATAATTTGGTATTTTTCTGCTTCCAAGATGGCAAACCCTCTTGCCAAAAGGAGTACTTCTGGGGGCAAGGTAAGGGACTTCTGGTGGCAAAGGTCAGCAGTTAGGGGGCAGGACTTCTGGTCCCAAGTTGGCAACCGGGGGGGGGGCATCTGTCAAGGAGTGAGGCTATTCATGCGGCCCTTGACAGTTTGCCAAAATTTGGTAAGTGGACCTCCAAATAATTGCCTGCCCCTGTGATACAGGCACCAGTAGAAAGATAAGAATATGCAGGAGGTATCCTCAGGTAGCCCTACAGAAACAGCTCACCAAGTTTTTCTAGTTTTAATAATTGAAAATGATGTTTATTATGAGAACCCAACACTTTGTGTCTAGGTGTTCTCTCACCCTGAAGCACATGTGTGGAGAGTTGTGGGCTCAAGGTAATCTCCCACAGGCAAAAATAATTAAGAAATGTTAAGAGTTCCATGTTGCCAAAGTCCAGCAGAGGGAGTCTGAACTAAAAATAAAGTTCCATTTTAAGCCACCTCCATTTCCGTGTGCTGGTTAAGTCTAACTCAGAAGTTTAGTTCAGACTAATGGATGCTCTGTTATGAAAATACAAGTTGATAATCAAAGAGCCATTTCAACAAAGCATAGCTATGCAAGTGAATGATCCCACAATAATCTAAAAACAACAGAAATGTTAAACTACAAGTCTTGTGCCTTCATAATTTTTACTATATATTTTTACCGAGAAATAGTATCTACCTTGAAGCCACTTATAGCATCACATATTAACTTTCACACACAAAACTCTTCTTTATTTAGCAGCCTTTCAAGATGTTATGTTAACCTATTACTTTTTTTTGCAAATCTGAAATATTTCTTAATCAAGATTTTTTTTTATAACTTTGAATGTGGATATGAAAATCTTTAAGCACAACACAAACTTGTCAAAAACCATCATTCCAAGTAATCTCTTTACTGTCCTTCATAACTACACTGGAATTTTTGTGCTGATCTGAGCCAAATTTCTGTTTATGATTTCTGTGCCAATCCACTTAATGCCAAGAACAATGCGTTTGTTTTACTAAACGCATAAGTAGACTTTTATGGATTTCCATTTTTGCGCTAGATATTTGAAAACAAAATGTCTGGCATATTTTCTTAGTCTCACCAACACTCAGAAATCTTTATCAAACTTTTTTCTTTCATCATTGCTTAGTCATCACACAAGCCATCTGCATAAATAAAGATGTAAGCATCTGTTGTACAGCAAATGGTCTCAGGGGCAGATGTTTTTATCCCCTGCATTCATGTCACTGGGCTTGGATACATTATTTGAACAGATGTACACAATCTGAAAGTGTTGTGTCCCACAGTGAAACGTCTCCAACTGCTTTCTATCAAAGTACATAAATGCTATTTGCACCTGCATTTATGTTAATGATATAAAGGCAGCAGGGGTTCTGACAAAGTGAGATTTGATGCTATGAAGAACATTTACATGGTTAATTGAAGTTTGAGAGCTTCTAGCTCCAAACGACCGTACTGACATTGATACATGCTGAACTAAAATGGGTGATTGATTTTTTTTTTAATATGCTGTTGATTAAAGTAAATATACCCAAGCAGCAAATCTTTGTTTCTAGTTTGCCATTCATAAGACTTTTTCAATTGTGTACTCCTAAAATGTTAGGAAATATTTTAAAATGCATCATTAGATTTTGCCAGTTTAATAAGTCCAGCTCATTTTAGCCTTGCTTAGAGGACAAGTGTTATAAAACTGACAGTGTTTCCATTCTGAAGCAATAAGAGCTCTCCAAACAGCTGATAATCCATAATGATATTCTGCATGTCCTATAGCAAACTTGAAAAATCTAAGTTTCCAGAATGAAGGGAACAAAATACCAACTAGAAACGTCAGCTTTCAAGTGAAATTCTGCATGTAACATTAGATCATAAGACGCAATTATGATTCACCAGTTTACTAACGAATGACATTTTTGTAAAGCTTTCCAAATTCTAGAGGAAAACAGTCAATCCACAAAATTTACATATTTATCACGAAGGCAATTCCTTTGTCATTGGAGCAATAATCCCTTTGAAAACTTTAGCTCATGAAGTACTGTTTCCTTCAGGAATGATAAATATGTAGGCTGACCAGGATACATGTGCCCTGCAGGAGTACATATCAAATTACAATAGAGCTCCGGCTATTATATCACAAATAGTAGGACTAAAGGGCTTGGGTTGTCAATCAAAGAACTTGTGTGAACAGTAACTGCTATGACTTTCTGTAGTTGGTTAAAAAATAATGGGTACTTTCAAAGAGTAGATTTATAGGCTGATAAAACAATAGTACTGTGTGTGTGTAATTGACCGATAGGTTCCCCCTCCATTATAATTTATTTTCACACCACTTATTCATAAGAACTATGTCAGCTTATCATTGGACATAAATCATTATGAACTGTTAATGCACTCCAAATTTTCATAGTGCCACTACATGTTTAGGAAAAAAAGTCCAATTTTTTATCCAAAAGGACTAAATACTGTTTATGGCAAAAGAACACAACATCTTACACCAGGACCACTAAATTTTTAGATTATATAGTTTCACCCTGATGTAATTCTAGACAGGATCCTGTTAGACATTTCCACTATAACTCCACAGTTTTCCAGGTTTATAATTCTGCTGTCATATTCACTGTGGGCTGAAAACTGGCCCATATGACATAAACCTGGAATGGACATTCTAAAAACCGCTTCTAAAAATCTGATTCAATTGTCTTCAAGTTAAGAAACTAATATCACCAATTTAAGCTTTTTATTTTCTATTTCCTCAAAAATGGTGAAAGAATGTCTTGTACTTGAAAGCTTGTCTAAATTTATGTCAACAAAGAAACCCTTGCCTCTTTAACATTAAAGACAAACATTTAGTTTGTCCACAAGATGGCCAAATCCTTTTAATTTAAAATGAAAATAAAATAATGATTTTTAAAGTTAGGACCAAGGGCAAATGAATTTATAAAATGTTAAGCATTTCACCAAAGGAATAATAGTTCATCGGGCTAAGAATCTGCTAACTATAAGGCATTTACATGATATACCACAATAATTCCTTCAGCTCTTTCATAGCATTGTGTAAAATATCCAGATGTGAAAAATGGCAAAAATGCATTTAAACATGTCTTCTGGTTAAACAGTAGGCTTTTGTTTCTAAATTTGCCAAATACTGCATTTTTAATTGACACTCTAAAATGATCTATCATATCTCATCTATGGTGCATGTTCTCAGTTTTTAAGACTACTATTAACACAAATAGCATTCAAGTCATTTAAGTCTGCGTTGTGACAGACTGACATAGCAATGGAATTAAAGTTAAAACTGAAAGTCCAATCAAAATTCACAGCATTGTGAACATGCATTACAGCACACATACATGTATATACTAGTATTGGGAGAAAAGAACACCCAGAGTTTAACTCTATTTAAATGCTAATTTACTAGAAAAGACAGCTGAATGCCCCCTGATAGTGAATGCCCTTCAACAGGAACAAGAAACACATAAGGTACTATCTCATCACCCATTTAACATTTTGTCTGTATTGTAATGGGAAAATTACACTGATTACTGGTGGAGTAAAACAGTCTCAAAATTCTGTTTCCAAATTCCACTATAATTTTAGGTGAAAATTAAATTAAACTTCATAATCTTCAGATTTATTAAAAAGGACTAGAATTATATTACAGTAATGGAAAACTGCTGAATGAGTTAGATACAAATTACATTAGTTTCCACCTTCAATTGCAGATGGTGAATATAAATAAATAACAATCCTCTTCACAGCAAAAACTCTAAAGTGCTCTAACTACTATCATGAATGTGTCACTCAGCCAGTTTTACTTTATTAACAAAGTGAATATAGAATAAGTTGGATATGAGCTCCATAGAGAGTAATTTAATTTCTATTAATATTCTACTACATTCCAAATGACAAAACTATAGTTTTGTCTAAAATGCATAGAATTCATACCATACCTCCAGAAACAGTTAAAGGATTCTGCATCATGTCCTTTGATAGTTAAGCAACATTCCTGCAGAAGAGAAATAAATGCAGGTAGTTCAACTTTTTGATGTCTTAAGTTTCAAAAATAAACTTTATAATAGTGCACATTCAATAAATACAATTTTGAACAGATTTACAAGTCATTGATTCTGAGGTAGGAGGGAAACTTTTCTATCCTTTCTAATTAGAAATACAAGGGTCATCAGATGTGATCAGGACTATTTAGTCCTCAATGTACAAATCAAATTATTTTTCCATGTCATTCATAACTGCTGTATGAGTTGTCTGATAAAATAATGAACTTTCAAATGACAAGCTTTGACAACCTGAGCTCTCAAAGTATTTTATAAACATCGCAGAAACTAGCCAGCAAGTTGCCACTTCAAGCACAGCTACATGTCATGTCTTTGAGGCTGTCTCTGTATTTTAGAAGACACCATAACAAAATCTCTAATTATTTTGACCTGATTTTTTTCATCAGTAATTTGTAAAAAGTGCAAGCAGAAAGAAATCTAACCACTAAGAAATTACATAAAAAGTAACTAAACGAGACAAGTAATATTATAAGTCATAATCACAGAAAATTAGGGTCGGAAGAAACCTGAGGAGGTCATCTAGTCCAACCATCTGCTCAAAGCAAGACCATCCCCCAACTAGATCACCCCACCCAAAGCTTTGTGTAATTTTAAATAGACAGATTTCTATTTTAAGTTTTAATTTAAAAGGCCCAATAACAACACTGGAAGGTAAAAGTACTTTGCATACAGTTCCACAATTATAGCAGTAGTGAAAAGTACTTTAAATTTTCCAGGCAGCACGCTTCAATCCCGATGTGACAAAGCCACCTTTAAAATTGAGAGTTCAGTTGCTATGTCCCATTTAGTTACTGACTTCTCAGAAAATATTTTCAAAGAAGTGCCAAATGTAACATGATGCTCAAGTCTTATACATTATATATACAGAGAAAAGACACTAAAAGGTTGCTGATCAGTAATCAGACCATATTGTTGGCTTCAGTCCTAATTTTTGTATGACTGCTTCAGTTTTGGATATGGCTATCCTGAAAAGTTTTCCAACACACACGAAACTGTGACACTACAAATATAGTGTCAACATGCCTACATATAAAAATCACAATCAAATTATGATGTAACATATATTGACCTGTAAAATAAACTTCTTACGGTGTTGGAATTCTACTTGGATGGCAGTAACTTTGGGTCATCAATACGTTGTATCTTATGGCAGAGGTTAAAAGCATAAATGCTCTGAGTCTCATTACCATACTAATCCTCTGACCTATCCAACCCCCTGAAACTCTAATACACTCAACACTATCACACTAAGCAAATAAAAACACATTCAACATTCAATTTTATTTTCAAAATAAATTTGTAACATGTAAATCAGTGCACACACACTACTGAGTTAGCATTCATGTTCTTACATTTTTTAATGATTTTCTCAACAAGTTTTACAGTTCATCTTTAGTAAAATATGAATGCATTGCCACTGTAAATACTGGGGACCAATTGTAAATTAAAATAGGACCAAACAATAAACCTCAGAAGCTACTAAGAATTAGGAATTAGGAATTTTGTTACTTCAGTCATAAGTGTTATTTACTTTTCTTGCCAGGTCTTTTATGAATGCCTTATAGAGCATCATAACACAAGAACTTTTATATACACTGAGTAAGTGTGGCAAAAGGTCCTCCTAAATATTTCACATCAAATCAAATAAAAGTCTATAAAAAACTTATAGCCTGGACATTACACATTTATACTTGTGGGGGTGGGGGGCAGAAGGAGTAGACAGACAACAACATAACTTACTAGTATCTGGTGTAGAAATGCCCCAAGAAATCAAAGGTAAACCTATACTCATATAATTTATCCTGGAGAAAGTGTAGTATGCCTCTTCTATCCCAGGGCAGCTGTTTGTGCAATTCATACAGGCAATTCATACTGACTCCTATACTATTGGCTATTGAGGTAATATAACTGTGCCCACAGCAGCAATTACCCCAGCAGACCTAGTCAGCTGTTTGCCTGGACAGCAGCATAACTTGCATCCATATGCAAAACCAATGTACGTTACACTGAATTTAACCTGCTGTGTGTCCTGATCCTTTCTTACTGATATTTACCAGTTCTTTGCACCAGCTGATGATTTTTTATATAGATTAATTTTTCTAAAATTAGATTAAAGTGATTATAGATTAAATTTTCTCAGATTCTCCTTCCTCACAAGAGGGCAATACTGGATTTACCATAGGGATTTTTGGCCTCTAAATAGATAGAACTGTGACGGTAATAGTCTTTTCTATGGCAATGAACAATCTACAGTTAAATTCCAATTAAGCTTGATTTCACCAGGAGCACTTCAATTATTTATAGATGTCTGACACTGTGACTTATAAGGTCAAACCACAGCCTTCTACAGGTTGTATTTTTAGCAGTTTGACTCCTTTTCTTGACTCTCGTATTCCTTTCTGAATACTTCAAATGTACAGAGATGTCTAGCCATTATTTGCCCTTTGGTTTGTGAGCAGCACACATCCTGCCTGTGAGAATCTTCTCAAGTAGTCTTAAGTTTAACCTTACCAAGATTCATAGCCAACAAGTCATTACCAAAATACAAATGGCAAAAATTTAAGTTGACCTTAATTTATAAAGTTTAACTGCAAATTTTTAAAATAATTTCCTATGTTTATCAGACTATGCGGACAAATACTTACTGATAGTTGGTTTAAGCTTACTTACTGATTCAGCCTGATTTTTTTTTCTTGTTAAATCTTAATAATGGGTATTTTATACACAGCTTTATGTTAATTTCCTCTCTAACCACATGGCTGTGATCAGAGTAGGTTTTCTTGCTATTACACCTGTGCATAGTTGGGATTCTTGTTATCTAACAATTACCCAAATCAGACTTGTTATCCAACAACTACTGTCATTCTTCAAAATGATATTCTTAGCATAGATCTCAGTGTCACCACTGATGGGTCTCATGTTACCTGAAGATTCTGAAAGCAGGGAAAAGGCCAGGTCATGGGCTCCAAATGAGCATCCTTACCCTGAAAAGCCACAGGTACTGTAGAGTGAATAATTATTCTTTCTCCAAGTGCAGGTCAGTACAGACTTCACTACAGGTGACTGGTAAAAGCAGCATCTTTCTTGCATGGTAGGATGAGGAGTATAGCACTGCTATAGCACAGAGACTGTAGCACTGCTCTCCTGAACTTGGCATCCGACTGCATTCTACACACAATGTTTGCTGAAAGTCAGCAAGGATTATTATATGTGGTTACCTTGTATATTTCAGCGTGTGGACAGATGTAACAATTAAAACATTTCAAAGGCCTTTGAAATGTTTCAAGGGGTCAGCTAACAGAGGTACATGCCCCTTGAAATGCTCTAGACGGTGCTGAAACACTCCAAAATAGCACCTCTCAAAATGAAGTACTACTCTGGAGTGTTTCACTTTTGGTTACCCACAGGGTGCTCCTGAGTGCACAGGGACCACATGTAGGAACTGGGGTTGGAACCCAGTTCTTCCCCACCCTCCTTCACCACTGGGGATGCCAGCTCCAGGCCCTCCAGCTCTGATCCCTGCTACTGCTCTCTTCTGAGGAAGGCAAGTGGGGGCAGAAGACAGAAGTTCTGGGGATCTGGGAGCCCCCTGCTGCACCTCCACTCCAGCTTCCCTCTCCTCTCTGGCTTTCTGCTCTTCTCTTCCCTTTACTATTTGTCCCTGTGAGGCAAAAGGAGAGACTGAGAGCACAGCTCCAGGCTGCTGCAGCCTGCTCTAGTGGTCACTGGCTGACACCAGGGGAGGCTGCAGAGTTTTGAAATGTTCTAGCCCAGAATGGTACAGGGGTATGTCTTGCCTGAAACATTTCCTTTCTGAAGCGTTTTCCAGCATTTCAGTTATTAAGTCTGTCCACATGCTTGGAAATCATCAGCCTTCTGAAGCAGGCAGGGAAGGTCATTTGAGCTTTAGTGGAGTGAGCTTCTACATTTAGACAGAGAGGTAGACAAGTCAACCAGTAACACAGTGAGACTCCCACATTATTCATTTAGGGCTTAAAACAGATAGGGTGTTTCAACAGTATTCAATGATGTCGGTAAAAGATGCTTCAATGTAACTATTAAATCTGTCCATGCCTATATCCAAATAAATGGTGTAACCGAGCCTGTTCAAATCCTATCCTCCTTCTAAAATGGTTTAAAGTTATGTCTATTCACATCCCTAAGTATTCTTTGCCTGGTCCTTGCAATGGTTGATTATAACCAGGAATAACCAAGACACAGTTAATTGTCTGGCTGTCAATACTGTTAAGTAAGGCTATAGAAACATTCAACATATATAACTTTTCTTTCTAAATATAGTGTGGGGCTTCATGAAGAAAGGAGACAAGTTTACTGATTGAGTCTGATAATACTCTGACTACTCTGGGGATGAACTCAGGGCAATGCTTCAGTATCATCCTGTCCCTATGAAATGCTGTGTGGGAAAGGTAAGCTGTAAGTGCTTAGAGCTGGCTCACTCTCCTCACCTACGTGAAAGCAAATAGGAACAGCATCTCCAGAGCGAGATGACGTACGGAGCATTCTGAAAGAGATATCCTATGACTCCCAAGACAACAAGTTTCTAACTAGAAACTAAGTTTATAACAAAGTCTACAGAAACAGGTCTATAAGAAATTCAAGGCCAGGAGGCAAAAGACCATACTGCATGACTGCAAAGATGAAGGACATGCCATAATCACTATGAGGTAGGCATTGACAGCCCAAGTAATCAGCACAAGGTACTATAATCTACAGAGTCCAGGCTGCACTAAGCCAACCATACCAAGAATCTCTTCCATTTTTATTAATATCATATTTTCTTTTGTACAACTTGCACCTTTTCCCAAAATATCAGTTGCTGGAAACTGAGGTACACATAATAACTGAGGAAATACAGTAATGCCAGTTGTTGCTACTCAATTACTTCTACTTATCAGTATTTCCAAAGAAAGAT